CTTGTCCCAATAAAGATGTGCACGTGTTTAGAATGCAGCCCTGCCTCTGGCTGACAGTGACGTTTGGTCGATAATGGAACCCGACCGGACGGTGGTTGAAGTTGTGGCGGTCGAGGATGTGAGATCAACTTAATCATGGTTAAATAGGTACGGTGACGCAGACGTGAACTAGCACAGAATGGCGGTAGATTTGCGCGACGTCTTAGGCACGCTCTCTTACCTTACCTACCTGGCTACGGTCTTACGCGGTCAAGAAGATTGAATGCAGGATCGGACACAGTGGGTGAGAAGGTGTGGCGGTCAAGGATGTGAGATCAACTTAAACCACGCACAATAAGTTCGTTTCCTCTAATGTCAGCAGTGAGGGAGCTGTGAGGAATACTTTATTCTGTACACAGGGCAAATTGCCGTAAGTTGGCTGTTTGCTTGCAACAGAGAAAAGCGTCCGTTCACGGAGAGCGTCAGTCGCGGTGCGTTGTTTACGCGGGAGTGAGTGTCTGTGTCAGCAGGAGGGGGTGACTGGCTGAGTGTTGGTCGTGTGATTGGACAAATTAGGGGAGGAATTGGGGCGCATGCACACAATGCCTCACGGGTATCAAGCCAGGGCGTTAGACGCGCGTGAGGTGATAAAAGTTTGTGAGGTCGGCCTACAGTCACTGAAGTTGGACCGGAGGTGTCCCAGTTCTAGCCGGCGGGGGTGGCCGTGTGTCAACAGCTGTCGCGGCCATTGTTTGACAAAACGGAGCCGAAGAAAAGGGGGACTGGAGCGGCTGCTGCATAGCCACCTGGTAGTTAGCTCTCAGTCGGAAAGTGCAGCCTGGTTTGGGGCGTTTCTACCATCGCCATCGCTGTTAAGCAGTAACTTTTGTCCGGATGCGTACTTAACGGATTTGGCTAGTATCCCGTCAGATTTGACGATAACTTTTGTTCGTATTGACCCAACTGAAAAACGCGGCGCCTCGGTGGGATTCGGACCCACGCAGTAAGCGGAAGGCTTTAGCGCAGCCAACGCTCTAACCACCTGAGCTACGAGGCCCCGCCGGACGACGCGAGTTTAATCACATTTGGGTCAAGTTACCCGCCCAACCTACTGCGGCGTCTGGAATCCACCAAATCTGATACAGTAAGTTGACTGCCCAAGCAGGATTTCCTAACTAAATCACCTAGAATCCGCCAGATGACTACCAGGCTCGCGTAATTCATTGGTGTTTTGGCAGATTTTGAATAATTCATATTGACCCGGCGTCGACCGGCGGGGCCTCGTAGCTCAGGTGGTTAGAGCGTTGGCTGCGCTAAAGCCTTCCTCTTACTGCGTGGGTTCAAATCCCACCGAGGCGCCGAGTTTTTCACAGTTGGGTCAATATGAATTATTCAAAATCTGCCAAAACATCAATGGATAACTTTTGTGCCTTCTGTGAGATCAGACGTCGTGTGTAGTACCTCTCAGACGGCGATTTCACGTCTGTCACTGCGTTTACTCTTGTCTGCAGTTGACCCTGGGCTCTGATTGGCTAGTCTAGATGTGCTGTCTCGTGGAATAATAACCGACATTTTGAACAGTGCTTTCGATTCGGACAGGCGCTTAAGTCGGGTCGTAATACTCATTGTCGTGCAGCATAAACACAAGATATTTCGACAGTTGCACCGTCGTACCCGACGATGCCCTCTGTGTGCTCCACCGCAAGCTGAAGCAGGCACGAGGACTAATGAGCGAGTTACAGTGGTAATGGACTTGCACAGCATCTACCTCACTCTCTCCTCACCCGAATGAGCCTGTTGTCATAGCAATATCAAGAAGACTGGAGGTGGGAGAGCGCGCAGGTGGCTGACACGGTCGGACCCGCACCTAAGCCCACCACGACACCCCCCGGTCCACAAAAAACACTTGTGAAGGATTTTAACCGACGACGACAGCACCACAACGGGCAGCTATACTCATGACCTGTTTACCTAGTTGGAGCGCAAGTGCATCTACCGGTAAGGAGCTAGGCGCCAGAGAACTACCAGCGCATACCAGGCTGCGGGGGCCATTGTTTGTTGATTATGGCATAGCAGGTGCTGACCTACCTTGAGGCCTGGGAGGGTGACATGCAGCCCTGCATCTCGCCTTGGCCATCACCCTTCGAAGGCTGGGTAACCAGTCAGTCGTCGACTGAGAGGCACTATCCATAGAATACACACACACTCTTCACATGCCTGAGAGTGCCAGAGGTCACGTTAGGAAGGAGCCGTAACAGCCTGGCTCTCAGCCTACCAGTACGCTACTCCACACAAACTCGCACAACTGGGCAGACTGCAAGGACTGGGTTGGGGTGTCAGTCGGTAGCCTTCCAAGCCACGGCGCACCGTGACATTCTCAGGCTCCGATCACACATGCGGCAGAGGAGTCGCACTTCCCACTTACGTGGGAGGTGGCAGTTGACTGCTTGCGATGGGTGATGTTGTTTGGTGCAGGTGTAGGTGGGGAAAAGTGTGATGGTGTGGTTTAACCGGCAAATGTCTACCGCTGGTGTCCATAAATGGGCATGTGACCTAGTAGGCCCATGCGATGGCCGAATGTGCGCGGGCTGTTGAGGTGGGTGTAGGTTGATGCTCTAGGCACCGGTTCGCCAGCCTCTGTGCGATGAATTCGCAAGTGACCGACCAGTCACTTCAGAAGGATGGCTTTGAATGAACTTATTTTTGACCGTCCGCAAAAAGTATGCTGCAAATAATAAGTACTTAATTAGTATGAACTTCTCGCACTGACTTTCGATGCTCTTATATGTTCGATCATATCTTACAGAAAATGTACGCAAAAGTATTCTATTTTGTACTCATTCGGTGGGACATTACGTTTTCTTCAAGTTTTATTCTCAAAGAAGGGATATATTTTGATTCTAAAATGTCTATAATTGTGAGATTTTTCAACACCGCGAAATGTCCATTCACATAACATCGCATCAGTGCTTTTATTGTGCTACTGATAAAGTATACCATTTGGTCCACATCCATTGCACAATTTTATGTCTGTTATATGACGTCTTCCTAACAGCGTAGAGAAACGGGATGCATACGGCATGTAGTTTGGAATGCAAATGTAGCGGCAGGTCGGATCGAAAATTGTCTGGGAATCAAGAGGGGACATTTTCGTGCACGTTTCTGTAACATATAGTTGAGTTTATGAAATCATCGAAAGTAAATGGGAAAAGTCATGCTACTTAACTGCTCTTTTTGCAGACATCCGAAAATAAGCTTATTCAAAAGCCGACTCGCTGAAGTGAATGGAATCCCGTATGTCTATGCTGCGCGATAACTAATGTTACAATCCTACTTAATTAGTCTCTCCGAATTGAAAACACATTTCAGACTTATGGTCAATATTTCGTGAGATAGCACACCAACTGTGGCCCTGGGCACAGAGTCGGCAGCGTCTGTTCATCGATTGCTAATCGTGCACGTCAGTGGAGTACGATGATGTAGCCGTAAGTCGGCATAAGCCGAGGCTGCAGAAGGCTGGTGAATGCGTCTCACAAGGCCATACACGGCGCAGGTAGATATGATCGTTCCTGAAGCCTCCTCTTGCAATGACGTTTAAAAGATAATTCCGACCCCAGTCGCATTGTACCTTTATCAGTCTTTCCCCCGTTTCAGGCGAATTTGAACGACACCATGCTTGCTGAAACTGCATGTAGGAATCGAGTCCCTTGATGCTTTGAGGCACTGGTTCGCACACAACAGCTCTTTTGTATATTCTGACCTGCAGACTTCCGCAGAGCATATTAGTCATCTACGGCGTCCCTGCAGTACGCCGTCGTGGACTGCTACGGTAGGTGGGCTAACTCATGAAATGTCAACCGAAATTTCCAAATACGTTTTCGTTTCGAAAAGATTAATTAAGTAGGGTTGTAAATCTAGTCAGCCTGCAACATAATTCCATAATATTTCAGTTACCTCAGGATGCCGGCTTTCGAATGATCTTTCTTTCGGCCGCATGCAAAAACCACACTCAGTAAAAAATGACTACTTAACTAGCATGAATTGTTCTCATTGATTTTCGATGCCCCTAAAAGTCCAATTATATTTCATGGAAAACATGCATAACAAATATTCATATAAACGGACATTTCTCGGTATTTAAAAGTCCACAATTAGAAACTTTTTTAAAACCTAATTATATCCCTCCTTCGAGTATACAATTAGAAAAAGACGTAATTATCTACTGAATGAGCAAGAGAATGAATATTTTCATGAATGTTTCCCATGAAATATAGTTGA